AATATTTTGCAAGCAAAAAAGTCTATAGGGTTGCAATATATGAAGCACAGCTTACACAGAAGCCACTTTCTAACCAACTGGCAAATCAGAGTGACCAGCTTGAACCCACTGCAAAATCTGCTTTGAGAAATCTTTCACCCTCAAACTAAACTCACATTTGATGGATTCCTATTGAAATGACTAACAGTAAATGTGACCATATACCTTAAGAACGATCATTCCCAAAATTCCTAATGTTTCCACTTAAACTACTGCTTCATATGTCCTCAAACATCTATATCCTACTGGGATCACGTGACCTTACAAAAACACAGCCATCGAGCGTCAAAACAATGTTATGGACTTTTTTCCAGTCGTTATTATTACACAGATGCGTGGTTATCTGTGACTGTTTGTGTGTGTGTGTGTTATGTGTGTAACTGTTTCACAGTGTCAGCCACCGTGTGTGAAATGCAATTTCAGACAGATCTGGAAGCCCACTCAGCCATATCAGAGCAAAAGAGAGACAGAAAGAAGAGAGGTCACCAATAAAGCTAGTTTCACCAAATTTAAACAAACACACCATACCAGCATCACGTTTAACCAACCTTCCTCAAGTTTCCAACCCCCTAAAAAAAAAACACGCACACAAACAGACTCATTGGTCTTAGGTATTCAGTTGGCCGGTGTTTCTCTGGCCTTTTGTCTTTCAGCCTCTGAACCTGCTATAGGGAACCACTCTCTGTAACCAGACTCAATACAGCCCAGCTGCATTCAGGGTTAACCCCACTATTCACACACACACACACACACACACAGAAGGAGAACGGAGGAGAGGCATCTTCCTTGGTTCAAAAGCAGAGACAATAGCAACAATGAGATCACCGTTGTGCCCCCTCTGTCTCTTTCCATCTTCCTCTCTCTTTCTCTCAGGGATGAGGCTGAAGGTTTTTTGGGGGCAGAGAAAACTGCTCGGTGGATTCCTTGTGCACTTGATACACAGAGAGAGAGAGAGTGAGTGTGTGTGTGTGTGTGTGTGTGTGTGTGTGTGTGTGTGAGAGAGA